CCCACCACGTCGTCGATCGATGATAAGTGCATGCCCAACGCGGGGTGTGCTAACCCTCAGTGTGCCCAGCTTGCAATGTGCAACAGAGAGCTCCGCAGAATCGGAACTACTATCGAGAAGAGTATCTTAGGAAAGAAAAGCTGCGCTGTCAGGCATCGAGACGGGGGCGGAGGAGCGCCGAGAGAGCAGGAAAATGCGGGAAAGAAAAAGAAGAAAAATAAATGGAGCCATTTCAGATCAAAAACAATTTGTAAGAAGACTAATGACATCAAAGCACAACCCTGCGCGCATGGTTCGGTGGGAACGAGCGGTGTGTGCTGGCCGCGGGTTTCGCAGCCAGCGTTCAACGTGTCACGACACCTACTAACGCGCGCCGCATGACTGCTGCCTAAACGGTGTCTGCTGCTCACGTGCACCTGCCGGAAAATGCACATGTGTGTGCGTTTCTTGTCTACAACTGCCGACCAATGACAACACGCCAACCTTGTAGAGCGACCAAAAAAAAAGTGAATGCGCTTCCAGCCAGCAGCCTCCCCCGACAGGGGGACTGCGGAGGAGGTTGGGCAACAGGGTCCACTCTCCTTCCTGATACAGACCATGCGCGTGTGTGTGTCTTTCGGAATCCAGGAGTGGGGGGGGGGGGGGGGCAGCAACTGTCGCGTCTGAGAAGAAAGGAGAGACTCTACAGTAGATCGTGAATTGGAGGAACAAAGATTCGACTCTTCACCCTCAGGAGAAAAGACGCCGATAGGACCACACCTGGCCGGCCATCGACGACGTAAAGAGGACTCGCCCGCCGCCCGCGGCCTTCATTGGAGGCAGGAGTGCCCGCGTGACGTAGGCCGACCCGAGGGTGTTGACGCGGAGGAGGCGTTCGAAGTCGCCCATCTCCATCTGGTCGAACTCTTTTGCGATGGCGAATCCGGCACAGTTCGCCAAGACCTTTTTTTAGAGGCAAGGATGAATCAGAAGTTTGTGCAGTTTATTGCCTACTTTGGACGTGGCCGGAGGCAGTAAGCACCCTCGTTGACACGCCGGAAGGAAGGCAGCGACGAATGGCACAACGGCAGCATCGTGGGGTTGATGGATCGGCGCCTCTGCAGAATCGGTTTACGGACTGTGGACTACATTGCGCAGAATTGGGGCCCTATGCTATGCATACGAAAGGGATTGTCGACAGGGCAACATTAACATTTGCTGTAACTCGCTATCAGGGGGAGGGAGCCCGCGCGGATACCACCCTTAAGTGACACAATTTTACGGGCTCTGATAGGTGCCGTGCAATGGAACGACACAAAAGCCACACGCACGGCTGGAACAGCAGTGACAGAATCCCGACAAAAACTGGTTGCTCCTGCTGCTGCTGCCGCTACGCTTTCGCGACACACCGCCCATCACCTGCACCGCCCCCTGCTTGGCCACCGCCGCGCCCATGGCAACCTTCACCGCCTCAGCGTCCCCCACGTCGACGCTGATCGCTTGCACCATCTGATCGGGCGACTCTCGACAGGCCTCAACCTCCACCTGGGCCACTGAAAGGACACGAAAGAAAAGGGTGTGAGTCTGGATAGCGAGTGCCCAAGAGGAAAGAGTGGTGCCCCGACGTGTAAATGCCTGCTATGTCCCAGGGGATGATGCAACTGCGGTTCTCCCAAACACGAACAAGAGAACCGAAGCTTATGTCACAACGAAGCCGTTGCTCTGTACCTTTGGGGCAGGTGCACGGAATAGGAGGTGACTGTGATTCAGTCCTCTCGAACATTGTCTACAAAACAGACACGACGCGTTGGTTTATTCTCCGCTAGGACGGATGACTCTGTTGGTCAGCCAGATAAGCGCAGCTAGTAGTGGGTGCTACAGCATTATGCACCGGCCTATGCCTACCTGAGGAAACAAGCAGCTGGTTATTCGAGGCCGTACAAACGAATCCAAGGAACTACTGCTGTAGTGAGAGGCTTCTGCACCCCGTATCTAGACCACAGATCACAGGATTGCGAGATCTCACCATCGAGAACTTCCTGTCGACGCGCCACAATCGTCACGTGGGCTCCCTCGCGAGCTAGTTGCTGCGTAAAGGGGACATTCGGCGACGGGAAACGGCGGAGCACCGGTGGGTTTCAGCATTCAGCGGTGTCCCCAGAGAACAAGCAAGCGCGCTGGCATCCTCGATAAACAGCAGTTGTTGTTGTTGTTGTTGTTGTCTTCACATTAAAAACCGTTCCGATCTCTCTCTACCCAGTACCTTCGTATGTCCGTACTGATCCAACACTCGACTCGGTCGATTCCCGTGGTCACAGGTTAACTTACCCTAAAAAGGTACACTCAAATGCACTGGCCCCGAGGGGTCCGCAAGTCAATAGAATTCAACGACAGATATTCTGGAATCCTCCACTCCCTCTTCGCGCTATGCGAGGTATCAACTGAGACTAGCAGTCACTACATGTATCTATCATGGGCCGGAGAGAAAGAGGTACACCCCCTTCGTTCAATCTTGGTACTTCAGTGCAACGTGATGATGCGTCTATCTCAAGCAACATCCGACCCGGCAGCAAGCCGCTGGGATCATCACCGACGAACTGCCTTGTGTGAGCGGTGCGCACTACTAGCTAGCGCGCACCTTTGCCACTTCCTTCCCGATGCCGCTGCTGCCGCCGGTGACCAGGCAGTGTTTGCCCCGCATTGTAATCCTGCCGTTCGTGCCCAAGACCGACCGCGCAAGATGCCTCAACACGCAGAGCACCGTGCCAGCACCAATGAGCGCCGTACACACCGCCTCCGTAGACCACTCATCGTCCATGGCAGGAAGCACCTGCTAGCTGCGCGATACTGCTGTGGACAGCACGCAGCACTTCCTCGCTAGGGACTACTGCTGTAGGCAGTAGGGACGATGGCGGTGTTCGGTGTGGCTGAGTATGGTGAGCTCGTTGGTGTCCTTGATGATATAATATGTTCGCTCGTCTCTTGTCTTCCACGTTCCTCCAGTCTACCTATCTGTGGCACCGAATACGCAAAACCTTGCGAGCGTGTGATGCAGCAGTGGGGACAGGAGAGTGGAGGGGAGAGAGACGAGAGAAGCCGGGCACGAAGTGCGGCGAGATTTATCAACTTTGAAAAGAGGGGCGACGCGAAGGGGATTGTAGGGTTGTTTTACTGGGGGTGAGGACTTCATGTATCTTGTCGTTTGGATCTTGTTATCTTGATCATGCACGCACATGAATGTTGTGATGTCTTCTTTTGTGCATGCTGTCTATCCACAACTAGTGAATGGTTGTGTCATGCATCTATGTGTCATATGAGTTGCAGAGGAGGCGCCTAAAACATTGTGACTGAAAGACTTGTTCTTGTACACAACACAGGAAACACTCATCACTGGGGATGTGTTGAATGAAGACTACATGTAATACCAACGAAGGAACTACATACGTAGAGCAAAAGAGATAGATGTCCTTGAAGAAAACAGTGCTCGGGATGATTCAAAGAGGAACCAACGGCAAGTGCAATGCAATTGTTTGTAATTTCTATTTTCTTCTCCCTTGAAGCCATAATAAATAGGACGACAAAAAAAGAGCTCGGGGTGGTGTATTCACCCAGTAATAATAAGTGTGGGCAAGGCGGGTCGTTTTCAACTTCCTCCCCTGTGAGATTGAATTATTCAGAGAAGCTGATACAACAATCAGCAAATCTCACCAAATGCTACATGCCGTGGAGAGAACCCGGCCACATTTGGGGCAGCCTGACATATCAGAAGGTCCTGGTTTTGGCCTCGATCACACGGACAGAAAAGGCCACACAGACAGAAACACGGACCAAAGCGCGCTCTTCTTTGTCGGGGATTTCAGAGAGGCCCGGGGGGGACAATTGATCATGTACTGGCCCACCGCCTCGGCAGCCGTAGACCACTGGGCGGTAAGCACACCGTGGAGTGAAAACACTAATTTTACTTCGTTTAGTTTCCACAAACAAGAGAAACGGAAATTTAACGCGCTTAACCGACTTTCACCCATAAGATCTCGTGAAAGGTATATAGACATTGCGTCCCCCCAAAAAATGAAGAGTAAAAAAAAAATCAAACTGAAACGAAGAACACCCAAACCATTATTCAAAGGACAAGATAAACAGAAGGTTATTGCACAGCAACCGAAGACTAGTCTAGGCATGCCAGCGGTTACCCCCTCCTCGTCCACGCATCACACAGATCATGCCAAAGTGTAGGCACGCACAGGGCGCATCCATCGTCTCATAAGAGCATATATCACGAGCTACTCAAAACAAACACCACACCGGGGATACCCTGCGTAAAAGTATTCACACCAAAACCGGTTGCGGCTGTCTACATACGCAGCTTTTCAAAACGACCCTCCCGTGATAAAAGCGGGCGACGCCCGGCGGCCCAGATCACCTGCGGATCAAACGTACATCCGAGTCCCCGCCCCCCACAACCTTCTTATGGGGCTGCCGTCGGTCATGTGCAACTTCCTCGGCCGAGATTCGCTCCCCACTCTGCTCTCCCCGCTCGCCGATTCTTCCCTCCCTGCACCAATCTCTTCGGCACTACCGGACACAGGCGCCGAGCGCATGCCGTCACCGATGCCACCGTCGGCGGCGGCGGCGGCGGCGGCGGCGCCGTTGCTATTACCGTGCCAGCTACCTTCGCCCCCTGGCACCGGAGGATCCCCTTCTCCCTCAGATTCGTTTTCCCCGCCGCCGCCACCCTGACCCTCGCAACTCGAACAACCACTACTGTCCCCTTGGTCATCACCAAAACCATCCGCCCTCAACCATCCAGAAAAATCACCCACACCATCACCATGGTCCGGTTTCAGAGCAGCGGAGGATGACCGGCCCGTGCGGTAGCCGCCGCCGCCGCCGCCGTCACCGCCGGCCGCTGTTCGCGGGCGCGCACGCGCCGCCATCGACGAGGCCAAGTCGTCCCGGCTCTCCGGCGGCAGCGCTTGGTAACGGTAGGCCCCGTGCACGAAGGCCTTGCCGGCGGCCGACTGCATCAAGGGGTGGGCTTCCACGGCATCGGCGAGGGCTTTGGCGGAGACGAGGCCGAACCGTACGTGTGAGAGCACCTGCGGCGGCGGGTTTGAAGCCAAGGAGGGTAGTGAGCCAGAGAGAGCGCCGCGTCGCGGGGGGGGGGGTCAGGAACAGGACACAATGGAGGTGAGGCATCTCATACGGGCTCTGTGTTTGGTCAATCAACACTCTACCAAAACGGGCGCGCCCAACCTTGCGCACTCCCAATGCGTTCCATACCTCACGACGATGTCTTCGTCGCCGCACGTGGATGATGCTATGACGATGATCACACAGCGCTCCGAGCAAAAATGACTCCAATATCACCACAGGTTGACAAGTCTAATGCCACCACCCCGTCCACTGTCACGCCAACATGGACACTGCGAGCACAACGGTAAACCCAAGCAACGACGGTCTCTCGAGTGCGAGAAACTCGAAAACTCGCCTCATCCGCATTCCTTCGGCGGGACTGCTCTGCTTCCAGCCAGGATATCGCCGCCCAGAAGACAGCAAGCTCGCCCTCCTGCCCCGCAGCCAACCGGTCGTCCTTGAGCACCTCGACAACTAGAGCAGCGGAGAGATGGCGAAACCCGTCCGAAGAGCTGTCGCGGCACGTCGTCGGGAATCGCTGCGTGGTGGAAACAGCAAGGCGTGTGCAGAAGCGGGGAGGGGGGCGGGTGGTGACCAAGGACGCTCGGGATGGTGTGCTGCACGTGCGACAAAATGCCTCAGAAAGACGCTTAGGACATTGAATTGAGCTTGCTTCCACAACCCTTGAGGTGACCAAGAACGCCTCGTTCACAATGCTACGTGCAGAGCGCCGTTTGACGAGCTCACGTTTCGGTCAATGAGCGTGTCTACTCGAAAAAACGCGCGAACACCTCTTCTTTAAGAACAAACTTTCAACCTCCCCCTTTCCCAAGTCATGACCGTGCTGGGAGATCAACGGTGGCCTGACAGCGCGGGAGAGGTTACAAGGAACAAGCAGAGAATTTACTTAAAACAAACGTCGCGGACCCTGCAAAAGCGCCCGAGTGGTGGCAAGGTCTCTTAGGAGGAGGAACGGCGGTTCTCAGTGCATGGTCAAAGGTAACGACTCTAGAAAAAGGCAACAAGTGACGAAGAAGTACGCCCCCTCCGCCCGTGCGACAAGATCGATTCCCGACTGGTGCACACAACGGCCCATGCACACACGAGAGCGAGAAAAAAAAACTTACCTCTAGCGTGTACGCGAGGATAACTCTCCGCAGCCTGTGGCAGTCGTAGCGGTCGGCCACCGAGAGCAGGGAGCAGGCCGTGGCAGGGCTAGCAGAGCCCGCCAGGAAGGCGCAGCAGTGCCGCCGCAGCAGCGACACGCCGTACCTCGCGCTGAGGTCTAGCAGCGCTTCCACGTTTTCGTCCGTGACCTCGACCCTGCGGTCGTAGAAGAAGTCCAGCAGGAGCGAGAAGCTGGAGGGCTCCACGTCCAGGAGCGCGATCACGTCCTCGCTGCCTTCCTTGAACGAGCCCTCGAACATGGCGCGCAGCGGCGAGCTCTGGGCTGCCAAGACACACCTTTTGTCGGTTCCGGTTGTTCGGGGGCAGGGGCAGGACTTTGAAGGGTATCCCATGTGACACGTTACACACACCACTTTACCATCGGTTAGAGCACATCGCAATCCACCAACCAAACTTCCCGTGCCGGGAAAGACCGCAACCGACCCGACGGAGCACGGTGGGAGTAATCGTATGTGGGGGCTGGTCACAGCAACTAATTTCCGTTCCAAGAACACCGTTACGGCTGACACGCTCTGGACCTCAAGCCCTGCATGCTTCCCCCCCCACCACCACACACGCGCTGGCCTCCCCAAACGCCTCCCCCCTCACTTGTGCGCCTTGAAGTGTTTACCCCCCACGGCCAGGGTCACGTCGCAGCACGCCCCGACCCGCCGCAGCTCCCCAAACCTCTCGAAGGCCGCCCGCCTACCGCGCGCCCCCAGCGTCGCCTCGCGTAGTGCCGATCTCGACGCAAGCGCTCCACCGCCCTGCTGGTCGAACAGCTCCCCCCCTGCCCCGGATTCGCAGCTGGGGATGCCCCTCCTGAACGCGCCCCTCCACCCCCCTATTCGTCCTCTCGGACGTTGCCCGGCGTTGGTGTCGCCGTTGTCGTTCCCGCACAGCAGGGTTCCGTTGTTGCGATCTCTCCTTCGACTCAGGCCGATGCAGTAGAGCAGAAAGGAGACAGGGCTCGTGACCTATGATCGTTTGGTGTTGGCAAGAGGGTTAAACGTGAGCAATCGACAGCAGTGAGCCCCACCAGGGATAGACACCGGTCGGGGGCATGGGGGCTCTGCATGCGTTCGAGGAGCATCGTGTGAGCTGGGCCACCGACAGATTGACAATCTCATGTCTAAACGCCTTTGTTTTCACGCGGTTGCCCTGTGTTTGCAGCGAAATTATCTACTGCTGTGGCTCGTCGGAAGCGGGAGGCGGCGGCGGCGTGTCGTAGGTTCCAGCAGTTACGGTTGGCAGGTCTAACTGCTGTGTCCAGGGGCGGTAGTTAACAACAAGTTTCGGGACAACGCTTCGCTCAGGAGAATAGGGTGGACATCGTGGTGCCGTCATCGTCACAACATCCTGGTGCGGTCCTCGTGACGCAGTCTCTCCCACCCGGATTACATTGCAGGGGGCATCCCCCTTTGTGTGACCAATGCCGGCGTGTTCCACCCACAAAACTACGGCCGGCCATGTGTGCCGGCCATGAACGAAGTTACTTCAGGCTCACAAACCTAGATTCATTTAATACCAAGCACTGCATTGGCAAGACACCGGCCGTTGGTATATCCAGCAGGCGCTACTGAAAGGCCTGCGCCACCTTGTCGGAAATCGTTGGCGATAAACCAAGCCAACTCTCAACAGAGAGAGGATGCAATACACGCAAGAACTTCAAACTTGCAACGGCACCGTGAATTCAAAAACTGAATCCTAATGCATAGACTGCTAGGTGGACAGTTGACATACATGTTTCTCAGAGCTACTTTCCAGCACACAAACACTTACAAACCTTGCAGACGGCGAGGCTTAGAGCCGCTCTCCCTCGCCGGCAGCTAGCCAAGCAAGCTAGCACGACGAGGATGCGGAGGCAATCACCGCCGTTCCTCCTCTGAAGGGCCAGACGAACTACATCCGCTGCTGGTGCCGGAAGAAGCATCCTGTATTCAACAGCCCACCACGAGTGAGGTCAGCTTGCCCGCAACTCAAACCCTCGCATGAGGTGGTTTTTGTTCAATCGCTCCACCTCGCTCTCTGCTGCTGAACTGAGAACGGTTATGCCCAGATGCCCAGCAGACAGCAGCAGACAAGGCATCCTCGGCGGGGTTCTGCAGCTGATACAACAACCCGCCATTGGGGGTTCCGCGGTATGCATGACTGACCAACACCATCTTGCCGTGTGAACCTTCCCAAGCGAGAGGCGGTCCAAGACTAGGACCGAGGGACGAGGCAGAGGGGGGAAAGGGAGCAACGCTCGTCTGGCGTAGGGATAGCATAGCCGTTGTTTTATATTGCTGTCGGCAGAGATCCCGCCTGATCTGCGTGGATCCAGCGCGCGCAGGCGAAACAGAGAGGGCTTTTGGAGGGCAGGCTTCCCTTCATCATACATACCCACGGACGCCGCAAAGCACCAACGCGCCCTGATATAAGCTTCGTGCACTCCGGAACGGTGGAGAGCACACGGAGCAAGGACACTGGCGAACAGCTATAGCGGAGCTGGGCACTCGCTGGAAGGGAACTGACCGGCGCGCTCTATCGTAGTTTTGCCGGCGCGGGATCGCGCTTTTTCGGCGGGAGGCGAGAGAGCACGGCAAAGTAGGCGTGTTCGTAGGGCGAAAATGGTGAGGCTTGTGGTGAACAACATGGCAGGCGTGGTGACCGGTAAGGCGCCACCATCCGATCTCGGTCTCGCGAAAAACAAGGGCAGCAGTGGCAACGGCGACGACAGGAACGGAAACGGCGTGGCCAAGGCGGCGGTGGGGAACGGCGGGAGCGGGCGAGGGGGGCAGGGAGGGGGAAATGGCGGCACGGCGGCGGCGCCGCGGAAGCTGACCAAAAACGAGAAGCGACGGCAAAAAAACAAGCAGAGAAAAGCGCAGGCCGTGGAGGGCGCGGTGGTGGAGAAGTCGATGGCGGAATCGAACGGCGTCGCCGTGGCTTCATGGCCACCCCCGCCGGCACCGAAGGACGAAGCGTCGGATGTGCAGGTGGGGGTTTTGCATGGTTTTGTACCGTTTGCATCATGTGTATAGACTATGCTTTCTCCGCCGTCTGTTCTTGGCAACAGCTGTTTTGGAACGTTCACAGCAGCAGTCGTCCCCTCTGGTGAACTAATCTGTTTGTTCTTATGTCCCTCCTATATACCAGTATGCGGTACGCCGACTCTTGCACCCAAGGTTAGGAGAAGGCAGGCCCTTGGTGCGACGGGCGTGCAGTTGTGGGTGTCGTTCGTGTCTCGTGTGTGACCCCAACAGCCCACGTGGTACCATGAGATTGAGTTGTGCTGTAGGCATATTTAATCGTAAAGTTTGGCACCGACAACCATGAAGCAGGTACCAGACGTTGGCGTCGGTGACGGTTGCTGTGGACTATTTGACCTCTCCCTCTGTCTCACGCTCACAACACCTCTCTCTCTCTCTAGAAAGTGTCGAGGTAGGTCAGCGCTTGAACTTTGCGGTTGCACAACAATGGACGGTTAAAAACAACTATTTATATTTCCTCATCATAGCGTCAACACGATTCCTTCTCGGTGCAGTACATACACATAAGTAGCAAGTACCGACGGGAAGAGATGGGGATTTTCCTCCTGCAATACCCAAGCTGGTACGTAAGGCGTAACCTATATTAGTAAGACTGTCGCCGAGATGGGACGAATTTAGAAATAGAATACACAATGCTCTGGCAATTGCGAACATGCAAGATTTAGTGTCTATTTTAAGGACTACAAGCAGTGTTGACAGCCGTTGACGATTCGATAGGTTTTCAGCAGCAGAATCAATTACATCACACGTCGATTCGAAAGTGTCACGGTGCGAGAAGGCATCAAATTTCTTATTTCGATTACACAGAAGCCGTATCCTTGCGTAAAAAATTGGAGGCGAGCCGCCCCGCCGGATCCTACATGTAGCTACGGTTGGACTTCCTCCAGTACAGAGGAGGAGGCCACGTGAGGGAGGTAGACACAAGTCACGGCAAAAGGATGGGGATAACTAGAAACCAAAAATTAGAGGAATGGGTTGATCATCCTCGTCTCTCACACGGAGATTTCGACCGGGCAGTATCTTCGCTGTCATCCCCCAGCCTTCCCGATCACCAAAATATGCCTCGCGGTACCGTAGGTACAGCTTTCAGCTGCCATTTCCGTCTGCTGCTCCCACGCGCGGCCAGCACAAAACGATAACGGGGCCGAGCTTTTGCCGTCTGCGTGTGAGGTCTAGCGGGGTGACGGGGCGAAAAGAGAGACAGAGCAGCAGTCGGAGATGGGATGGTTGTGAACGTAGGTATTTACGAACAACAGCAGTAGCATTTGTTGTCGGAGGGCCTTGTGTATCCACGTCTGGAAGAGCGGTGACGATCTCGAAACACCCTCCAAACAGACTATTATAGGAGGCGTTTTGTGTCAGACAAAAATGGCATATCGTGATGTATCCTGGTGGCCTGCGCAAAGTTATGTGAACCCAGCTGACACTTCCTCCTCGTTGTCAATGTGGTACGTTTTGCTCCGACGAGGCATATTGTAGTTTGCTCGCGCTATTTCTCATCTACCACGAATTAACCCTCGATGGTCAAACGGTAAAGAAGCTACTCTATCGTCGGGGTCTTGCTTACCAGGTCGGGCAAAAGAAGTATGGTATGGGCCGGTCATTGGCCGCACTAGTGCGAGGCTAGAGGTTACTGTTTCTTGCCTTATCGCCGGGTGTGGCACCCTCCCCTCCCTTCCTCCAGTTTTGAGAAGAAAAGGGAAACAAGACGAGAGCTGGAGTCGTCGTAGATAACATATCACAGACGAATGGGGTGTAGAACCTGCCGATTGATTCGGCCCTATTATCCGGTGCCCTGCCGTTTGGCCGCAATAGTCGTGTTTTCCGTGTTGTGCTTGCTCTTCGCATTACGGGGAATCGTCTTGAACGAACCGTTGCTTGTGCTATTCTTGGTTTCACCACGCATCCAAAAGTTCCTGCAGCACAGAGGTCAGCGGCCGGAAATTACCTTCACGGTGAAGCTGAGGAGGCTCATGCCGGGTGAACCTGAAGCTGAAGAATACAATCCAAATCCGAAAATCAACAACAGCGAAGACAACAGCAACAGCAACAGCAACGACATTTCCTGAGTGCCTTCGTCAGTTCGACGGACCACCACTTCGTAGGCTTTGTTCCCCCCAAAACGAGTTGGAAGGTTCCCCAAAAGGAGCAAGAATGGGTGTATGCCGACAAGTATGCTTCTCGCCATCTCCTTCGTCTTTTCTTCAACCCCCCAATATTTTGTTTTATCTGCGCCCTGGGCGTGTTTTAGCTGTCTCTCTGGCGTTCGCATTCATTCGAAACCAACCAAACCCCGTCAACATTAAAGGCCAGCCTTTCGTTCTGGGAAATACGTGGCAATAAAACAGGTGGAGTACGTCGCCGACAACACCTCGGTCCTCGACGGGGCCGAGATGGACGCCGCCTCCCTCGAGGAGTTCAAGCAGATCTTCGAGCGGTTCACCAAGGTCGCGGACGAGGCCAGTGGCGCCGCCGCCGACGCCGCGGAGGCGGAGGCGGAAGCGGCGGCGGCGGCGGCGGAAGCGGCGAAGGCGGCCAGCAAGAAGGCGGCAGCGGCGGCGGCCCGCGGGAGCGACGGCGAGGAGGAGGGGTCGGACGAGGAGGGGGCGGGGCCCCGGTTGTCCCGGAAAGCGCGAAAGCTCAAGAGCAGGCTCTCGGTGGCCGAGCTCAAGCAGCTCGTGCAGCGGCCGGACGTGGTGGAGGCGCACGACGTGACGGCGGCTGACCCGCGCATGCTGGTGTTTCTCAAGGTGGGTTTTGCTTTCGGCGGGGTACTCATGTCGTATATAGTCGATAAGAACTACTGGCCTCGCATCCTTGCAATAGGCCGGGTTTTCACCGGCCCAGGCTCCGTTTCATGTGTAGTGGGGGGGTGAAGTAGATTCGATAGCACCGACATTGACGAAGCGGACATGATTGCACAAGGTAGTAGATGTTCTCTCTGCATTTTGATGGGTTGCCTTAAGACCGGCATTGGGTTGGCCAGGTCTTCAGTTTGGCACGCCGTTCGTTGTTCCAGCGCACGGTAAGAGATGGCTACTCGCACCTAAAGATGGGGGCCCTGTAGATAGGAAGGCGCTTGGCGGGGATGCGTAGGGTGGTGAGGGCGAGGGCATGTTGTTGAGGAGTTCGCGTTTTGGCTGGTCGTTTGTGCGAATGAGCACGAGACCGGGAGCTTCATCTACGTACGGCTGCCGAGCGCCGTCAGCGAGTCACCACCACCACCGCCAACACAACCGCCTCTTGCTTTTCCGCACTATTATAGCGTGGTGACATCTTTGTCACAAACGGCACCCCGCACCGTATAGCCCCTTGCGCTGCAAGCAGCGACAAGAGCACTAACAACCCCGTGTAGGTTGCGTGCTCGGTTCCCTCCTCTCCCCATATACAACGTAGTGGAAATACACCAGTCAGTAGCAAGGATGTTGTGCTGCGGAACATATCGCAGACAATCGTCGAGAGGTCGCCCCGAATTGCTGGAGGCATGTCTGCAAAGAGAACAATTGGCGGTGCCCCCCTGGAAAAAGTAGTGGTTAGTCGACAAGTCTCCGCTGTGAGGCATAACTGGGACCGCTAGGTAGACCTCGGCACGACCCCGCCCGATCAATTATCGTTCCTTCCTGTCTTGCAATCCGCTTGCGCAGTCCTACCGTAACACGGTGCCGGTGCCGCGCCACTGGTGCCAGAAGCGCAAGTACTTGCAGGGGAAGCGAGGGATAGAGAAGACGCCGTTCGAGCTGCCGGAGTTCATCGCCATGACAGGCATCGATAAGATCAGGGCGGCGATCGAGGAGGCCGACAGTCAAAAGAAGGTGACCGGGGGGGTGGTGGTGCATGGCTGCTGCCTCTCGTCTATTTTTCGTTTTATCGTTTGTGCATGTCATTGAGTGGGTTTCTGTTTGCTTCTTTTTTTTTTTGTGTGGACGACGAGAGAAAGACAGCAGTGAAGGGGGGGGGCGTCTGCGCTGTCCTGCAGGTTGGGCTGGTTATTTCGTTACTTCTGTTTTGTTTTCTATTGCGTATGATATGTGCAAGTTAGATTTTTTGTGGAGGGCGGTGATTCTTTTCTCCGTGTTCCTCACGTCCGGTTGTAAGCTAGAGACGCGAAATGCACACGGCAGATGGGCGTGATGAGTGGTTGCGGCATCGGTGCCTTCTCCCCAGATATTTCATGGTAGATTCGATGATATCGTAGATTCGGTAACGTCGGAGGTTCGACTCCCCCCCTGGGTATTCCTTGTTCCTCTCTAGAAACACGCGGCACCTCCCACCCTCCCTCTCCTGATCGGATTCGACTGTCATTTCTCACGCTCCTGGTTTGCCTGTTTGCCTCGTTCGTTATGTCTCGCTCTTTGGTCCACCTTTTCTTTTGGTTGCGGTTCGGGACAATGTCGTCCTGTCGGCGTCTTTTCCTATCGCCGTCGTCTTTCTCCCAGGCGAAGCAGAAGCAGAGGGAGAGAGTCGCTCCAAAGATGGGGAAGATCGACATCGACTATCAGGTGCGGCGGTTATGTACTGACATGGGCACGCGGCGTGTGGGCATGGGCCCCGGAATAGCTCGGGCGGTGTCCTTGTGGCTGTTGGTGCTTGGTGGCCGTCACAATATTTCCCACCAGATGATGTAGTTCTGACATGAAACGAGAGCGAAGCTTTGATTGCTCCGAAATGCAATGTAGTCAAACTTAACCATTCACAGCAGTGGAAGTACGGTTGATTATCCCGTTGTCACGATAAATCGAACGCATGCGAGAAGCATAGCAGTCAAGAATAAGAATTGAAAACTTCGTAGAAACGACCCCCCAATAAAAAAACGTGAGAGTCATCCCGTTGGGCAAATTTGCCGATCAGATTCCCGTGAAAAGTCTTTCTTCGCACGAGAAATGCCCGCCCGCCACCTATCGTGGCGAGCACGGAAAATCTGCGGCATTCCTTCCTTGATATCATCTGATGATCCCCTTGAGATGTTCCGCCTCCCCCCCCGCCACACGCACACACAATAGTCGCCGAAATGGTCTCAACGACTTTGGCACCCCCCCGGGGGCTGTTCGCCCCAGGGTATATGTATCGTTTTTTTTTTTCAAAGATCCTCTGAAAGGGGAGCTGGAATATGAAGGGACACAACGTAGTTGGGAACACGTGGGGAAAATAGGTTTTCCAACGATGCGCACCGCTCATGCCCGCTGCATATCCTTCCCTACAACGGCCGGTAACGGTGTTGGCGTCTATGCATACGATCTTGTTGCATTTTAGTGCGGTGCCAAGCCGTTTCATCCGTCTCCAGAAACCCTTAGCCTTAACTATGTGTGTCTTGGAAATTCTTCCTGCAAACCGTACCGTACGACATTTGCTCACGTGTGTGCTCCTACCGCCCCCGCCCCCCCGATTGTAGGTGCTGCACGACGCGTTCTTCAAGCACCAGACCAAGCCGCCGCTGACAAACCCGGGGGATCTGTACTATGAGGGCAAGGAGTTCGAGGCGAAGAACCAGGAGCACAAGCCCGGGCACGTCAGCTCAGACTTGAGAGAGGTCCGGCCCTGTGTTGCTTCCGTCTTGTTGTGTTTTTTTGTTTGCTGTTCACGTTTTGATCGTGAGCAAGAGAAGCGATGACGGATACGTGCGCCGTAGGTGACACGGTACCTACACGGCATGTACTCCGCGTATTTGGTTGGTGGTTGGTTGTCAGGCTCACAGTAGTGAGTATTTTGTTCATTTCCGACGTGTCTCCCACGCAGTTAGTGCAGTGTATTCGCGCTTTCGACGCGTGCGTATCAACAAAAGCTTGCGAAATGAGATGGCATTTGACGTCCGGCTTTCATATCATCATCACGCTGCCGCTTCCTGCCGGGGTGTTTGTTGTCGGTGGCGCTTGCTTGGTGTGTGGCCGCAGGCGCTGGGCATCGGAGAGGACGACCCCCCGCCATGGCTCATCAACATGCAAAGATACGGCCCGCCGTTGTCCTACCCGCACCTCCGAATCCCGGGGCTCAACGCTCCTATCCCGGCGGGGGCCCGGTACGGGTTCGGTTCGTCGGAGTGGGGGAAGCCTCCGGTGGACTCGAAGGGAAACCCTCTGTACGGAGGTGAGGGGCTCATCTAGTTAGCTGCCGTCGTCTCTTTCGGCCCGTGTTGTTTTTGCGTGGCTGGGGGGCACTTTGGCCGTAGGGCGAGCTGTTTGCTACCGTATGAACAGGCGCCTTGTGGTGTGCTTGGCGTCCCATGGTTGTGGGACATGACGTCGTCGATCGTGCCGCCTCTTGGCGCACACCGAACTAGGCGAACCGCCAACGATCGAGCCGCTTATCGCACGTACACACACGTCGTACACAGCATGCCGTGATGCCTGCACTGCTGTACTCTCGCTTAGAAACGCTCGCAATCACCCTCACACATACCGCCACTCCCCCCCCCCCCCCCCCGCCGCGACCGTCCTCAACGGAACATGAACAACTTGCGCGGAAACACGATCAAAACAGACGTGTTCAACCTGGCCGCGAAGGACGGGGACGACGTCGAAGAGATGGACAAGTCTCACTGGGGAGACTTGGCCGAATCCGACGATGACGACGACGAGGAGGAGGAGGAGGAGGAGGAGGAGGAAGAGGAGGAGGAGGAGGACGGCGGGGCGGAGACGCCCATGTTCGAGGGCGGCGGCGTCTCGAGCGTCTCCGGGCTCGAGACGCCGGACACGATGATGGACCTCCGCAAGAGGGCCGGGGTGGACACCCCCGACACGACCGGGCTGTCCGCGGTGCCCCAGGAGCTCTACAAGGTGGTCCAGTCGAGGGATTCCGCCGTGGGGGCCGGGGCTCTGTTCGGCGGGGACCGAAAGTACGTCCTGCCCGGCTCCAAGGGCGGCGGGGGCGGCGCGGCGGGGCTGGGCGGGGACGCTTCCGAGGCACCCCCGCGGGACGTGCAGGTGTCCCTTAACCCCGACGAGGTGGACGAGCAGCTCAACGACGAGGAGGGCCTCCGGGAGAAGTGAGAAGAAGAAATAATTTTTCAGGAGGATTTTGTTTTTCTGCTGTACTGCGGTAGGGTAGAAATGATTTACGCGCAAGCAATGCCAGAGAAATAAATGACTTTGCGCGTTCGAGATGAGAGGGGATGTGGTGGAAATCTAGTGGGAGTTGGAAAGCCGCCTGCCCAATATTGGAGTTGGTTTTTGGAATTGCTGGGGTGGGAGGGGGGTGTTTGGGCTGCTGTCCGTGTTGTTGCGGTGCATGATGTGGAAAGTGGGGCTTTTTTTTTTTGGAGAGGGATTCTGCCTTTCGCCTTTGGGCGCGTTCTCGTTCCCACCGCAGGATGTGCAGAACGACGGCGGGGATAACAATTGCTTGTTCTTGGTTGTGTTCCCAACAGCGTGTCTTGCCTCTCAGCTGACCTCCGTGCCCTCTTCTCAAAACCGCCCTGCCCTCCTCCTCCCCCCCTTGTCCCCTAGGTTCGAGGAGCAGGAGCGAGCGGCCGCGTCCGTCGGCGGCGCCAAGGGGAAGGAAGACGTGAGCGACATCGTGGCAGAGGAGAACCGTAAGCGCAAGCGCAAGCTCGAGAAGAAGGAGAAGGAGAAGGCGGCCGACAAGGGCAAGCGCTACAAGGACTCCTTCAAGTTCTAGCGCTTTGCGGTACGCGTGGTTCTCGGTTCTAGTTTTGATTTGTGTTCGACAGGATTCGTGTGCGTGCTGTGCTTCTCTTGCTTCGTTTTTTTCCCGGTTGGTTTGGTCTCTTGGTCGGTCGTTCGTGCGACTGCTGTGGGTCGTCGATCGTCTTGACCGTCGCTGCTTTGTTTCGTTTGACCTTGGCTGGTTTCGTTCTTATTGTATTATTGTGTCTTTCTTTTACTCACGCTCTCCCTGGTGGACTACTTTGGTTCGGCTTTTCTCCTGTCTTGGCACTTGTCTACTCCAGAGACAAGTGTGTGGATCAACCCTGCTCGGTCTTCGTAGATGAAGAAGATTGACCTATGTAGACGGTCTAGCTCTCTCTGTCTCTCGCGTTTGTTGCGCTTGATTTTGAGGCGGCGGGACGGTGACCATGCAAGAAGATGCCGATCGATATGGAAACCAAGAAAGAAAAAAAAGAAATGCCGGCTTACTTAGCGTTCAACGAGCGCACGTGGCTTTAACAACTAGAAAAAAGTGGGGGGAGCCCGTGGTTTCCTCTCGTCTTGAGAAGCAAGGCAAAAAGCGCGGCTATCGAAAGGGTCCGTGTTGCGGCTCCGAGTTATCCTTACGCTTATTTTTCTGTCTCCACCAGCCGAGGGACTGCTAGCAATGGTTGACGGGGGGGGGGCGATGCTCCAAACGGAGGGGTATGTATCCACGTGCAGGGGCGAGGCGCGTCTGGTTGTCGTCCCCGGCCGAGGTGTGCGCGAGCGATAGTCAGAAGAACGTGTGATGTCTTGCTTTTGGCTGGCTGGCTGTCCTATTTGAACACGGCCATTCGGCGAAGAAGTCAGGGATATATTTGTTGCCGCTTGTGACGGCGGCGGCGGCGACGGCATGGTGCCGCAAAAATCATTCGTTTGTGCCGACGGTGAGGCTCTCGTTACACCAGTGGTCCACTTCGTGTGGTGTGTCGGCAGAGCAAGCGACGACGGCGTATGTACGGTGTCTAACGTGTCGTGTGTTTTTGTTCGTTGCCCGCAAAAGCGTGGGAAAAGTACTGGGCGTTCCCCCGGGGGGCGGGCGGGAGGGAAAAATCGTACCATATATGCTAGATGATAAGTGAAACACACCTACAGGCTTTGGTAGGTCGTCTTCCAATTTTCTTTGGTGTAGGCGTTGTGTCGTTGCTGGTAGGGCGGCGTCAGTCGTACGGTGTCAAGTCTATCGCGTACAAGGTGTGAGAGGACCATGTTGCATATTTCCGCATACGCGCATGTGTGTGTGTGCATGCTCGTGCTGTACTTGCTCTTGTTATTAGCGTCGACCGGGCTCACCAGCTCCCAAAGGAGATACTAAGTCAGTCTGAACGGAACTAAATACGCGAGGGGGGCGTTTTATTCGTGTATGCCTAACAAAAAAAAAAATGTCGTGAATTTGTTCGAAGTACGGAACCGACCGGGCAATCGGCGGTAGAAAAAGGAAAAACAAGAAAGCTCATGGGAAGAAAAAAATACCCAAGCGCGACTAAATTTGTTGTGAACCAAGAAGCACGGTAGAGATGTGCGAAAATGTTGGTACATGTAACATGCAGGAGCGCACGATGTGCGATGACACTGCTGTGCATCAGAGCGATGCTGTTGTCTGGGTAATGTTCAAAGCAACTTTTTGAAAGCGTTTCCCGGTGGTGGAGAGGAGAGTCAGGGATGGCTATCCCTGGGCCAGTAGGCAAGGGTGGCAGTTCATTCAAAGGCGATCAATTTTGTTTTTTTCCCTCGTCTCCACAATTTCCGTACGAAAGGTGGAGCGACAAAATTGTCCAAAAGAGAAAAAAAAAGGGGGGGGGGGGGTGATTCCCATAATCGTTTGGTCTTTTATTGTCACAATCAGAGCTTCAGAATGGACATGTTGAAACCCCTGAAGGAACTGGATTCAGAATCGACTTGCGCGATTTCGCGAGGTTTGATCAAGGTATCGATCGATCGCGCTTGCTTGTTGACCGCGTGAGGCGGCTTTCACCCGAACCGTACTACATGGATAGTACTGACCGGGCGGGTAGGTTGATGGGCGACACATACTCAGAACGAGCAATCCTGCTGAGAATTGGTTTTTGCTCGCAAAAAACTAAAAATAAGTCGCGTGTTCGCTGTCGAGGAGCGTCGAACCGAGGTTAGGTTAACTAGCAGCATACCTCTAAAATCGTTGTTGTTGGAGTCTACAATCGATGTTGGAGTGCGGAGAGGTATGCTGCTAGTTAACCTAACCTCGGTTCGACGCTCCTCGACAGCGAACACACGACTTAATTTTGACCTTGTCCATGCGTGGAACAGGTGGAGTGTAGATACAACAACAGCAGCAGTGCCATCTTCTCTTGCTGCAGCAGCGAGCTAAGGTTCCCATAACTTTGGTAACCGTACGTACGTCCTACAAGAGCCAGATGAAGTGACCGGCGACCTGTTGCAGCGAGAGAGAGAAGCGAAAGAGGTCCGCAAAACGTCCCACACCGAAAGGCGATACATGTTGTCACAACTGCGCTTGCCAAAACCCAGGCCATGCCTCACCACCACAACGACAATACAAAGCAAACAACCTGGCAGGCTGTGTAGGTGTCCCACTCTCTCCCGAACCAACCGCCAGGTATTCCATTGCAGTGCTGCTGCTACGTACATGATCTGCCCCCCTTTCCCCCTGGCGCGTCGTTTTCTGCAGGCGAAACGCAACCACGCCGACGAACGACCCGAGGGTCGCCGAAATTCTTGTTTTTGTTTTCATCTTGTCCATTGAGCGGCCCCAACTGGCGGGAACACCGTGACGGTCACGTCGTCGTACATGTTGGTGACGCACGATAGGCGGTAGTTAGGCGGGTTGTCTCTGAGCGTGGAGCTCTCGTCGACCGAGCGGATTGTCGTGCTCTCCAGACCCTCGTCGATCGCCACGATGCACGTGCTTTGGTGTACCGCGAGGGAGAGGAGAGAGAAATAGCGGGAGAGACAAACAAGCGGCAGCAATGACGAAACAGCGAAGAAGAGTCAGGCAGAGACAGAGAGGGGGGGGGGGGTAGAGAAGGAACAAGAGAGAGGACGGGCAAAGCAGAGGAAGTTTAGGGTGCACAAAGTTAGACTGGAGAGATACGTCCGCATAGGTGCACAGCGAGACAAAACGTGGCATGTTCGTTACGAGAGGAATGCATGCCGATAGGAAACATTTGTTGCATGGGGGCTGAAAAGGCAACAACGAACGCACGCAGCAGGCACAAAAGCACGCGTCCGTGGCAAACAACCATCATCCACACCACTTGGAAACAGACAGTACGCTCCCACAGCTCGACACAATTTCGTACACTTGCCGAACGACATGACACACTTTTTCGGTCAGACGGCCACTAAAGAACGCAGTCGACGCCGTCAAAAAGAAAAACCTCAACCTTCCCCACCGGCGGAAACACTCACGGCACGTTCCCAAAAAACACCCCTTGGCGACAACATGTTTCCGGAATTTCGTACGTTAACGCGCCGCCCTCTCTCTCTCTTTCTCTCTCTCTCTCTCTCTCTCTCTCTCTCTCTCTCTCTCTCTCTCTCTCTCTCTCTCTCTCTCTCTCTCTCTCACCCGCACAGCTGCTTCCCCTTGCAGTTGGTCCAGCGCGTGACGGACTGGTAGACGTTGATGCCGTTCTCGGTGAGAAAGTCGCGGAGGTTGGCCCCCGAGGGCGCCGTGAGGGCCAACTCCGGCTTCCCGTCCTGCTTGACGGTAACCGTGATCTCTGCCGGGGGAGCTTCCGCACCTGCCGGGCGTGTAGAGCGTGTGTGTGTCGGCGACGTCAAAGAGGACCGGTGTCGGTGGGCAAAAAACATGCCTCTCGGGAGAGAAAGCCCGATGATGGGCGGGTGTAGAGGAGACAGCGAACACCGGAGGAACGCAAAGATCGCTCTAGGAGCTCCGCTCGGGCCAGGAAGTGGCATATGCCATACGGGAGGAAACAGGGTCGGCGCGTTGAGTGCCTGGCGCTCGCTCGGCGGGGCGCGAGTGTTCCCGTGCGAACAAGGCGCGCCACGATGCGGTTCAACAAATCGCGGTTCTAAACAGCTTCGACGCCTCGAGTGAAAGAAGCAGAGCCGTCCCTGCAAAAACGCTCAACACATGGGGCATCTTGGTGTCTTCTTCATGTTCCCCACTACCACCCCACATAGAGCTCCGTCGGTGTGAAAACTTTTCTTCCTACCGATTCGACCAACCATTCACGCTCTCTGAAGGACAGACACAGCACAAGCACCCCAGCCTAGCTAGTGGCACCTCCTATGCAATCGTGCTGCGAGAGCAGCACAAGGAACCAACCCATACAGCAGTGAGCGAGAGTTAACTGCTGGACTCACCAACCACCTTCTTGAGCTCCTCCGTCGAGCCCCTGAAGAAGGTGAACTCGACGTCGGTGCCCTCTAGAGCAATCATGGCGTCCATCGCCACGTCGAAAGGTGCCCCGGCCAACGTCTGGTCGTTTATTGCAATTAGCTACGGGTGGTGCGCATCGGGGATAGGAAGGCGGACCGGGGGGATCGAGGGCTTGAGGCGTGAACGAAAACCGCGTGCGTGGGATAAACGCCCAAGTAGGTATGCGTCTCCGCACCCCACCCCGTTTGCGGCATTGATGGCCTTTCAGCCAACACGCACAGCCGTTGCTGCTGCTGCTGCTGCTGCTGCTGCTGTTTTCAATCGCTTTGGTGCAGCCCGTTTGCTGGCACGATACACCAGGAAATGAAAAATGCAGGAAAGGGTCGGGGAGAAACCAACAACAACCAAATGACTTCTAGCGTTGCTATAGCTACGCTGCAGAGAGGTCAACAGCAACCGAAGATGCAATGGGCGCACCTGATCTCCGACGGAGATTTCCCCGCAGTTCGCCGCCGCACCGTCCGGCTGCAGGGCCCGAATGTACACCCACGAGAAGCTGATGTCCGTGCCCCATTCGATCCCGGTGGCGCGGGCGATCCTGACCGAGTAGAGACGGGGGTCCAGCTCTTCTCCGTTGGGACCCTTCTTGACCTCTCCGCTCTTGCCCGACGTCCCTGCTGCGCGAAGCGTCATGTAGTGTTGCGGGTATTCGCATGTGAGGGCGGAAGTTCGTCTGGTTAGAGCAGCTACATTCGGAGTCCACGGAAAGGACGGCATCCGAAGAGACCGGGAGCGGTGCCTCTGTTTGCTAGGTACTCGCGACGGCACGGTAATGTGTAGCGCCAGCGATTGCACTCAAAGCGAACGAGGAGAAGCTAAGGCAGATATTGGATACGAAGCCGTCTATCTTATCTCTCGGCCGGTTTGTTGGGGCCACCAATCGATTACAAGCCCTCCGACTCCGGCGAACGTTGGCATCGTGAAATTGTAGAGCCCCGTTGTACTAGAGCGCGCATTGGACACCCGAGCCGGCCGCCATCCCTTGCACGGCAGGGTCAGCTCAAAGCATCGAGGGTTGCATTGTGCAACCTCCCAACGCAAGGAGGCACGGACTGGATCGGTGTGCGCACGTTCTGCAGGTGCAAGACGGGTCAATCACAAGGGTCGACTGGCCCGCTTCTTGTCTTCTCTCTCTCTCTCTCTCTCTCTCTCTCTCTCTCTCTCTCTCTCTCTCTCTCTTCACCTGCAACAGATCCGGCCTTGGGTCCCTCCGGTCCGCTCTTCCCTTGAGAGCCTCCTTTGAGCCAGTCCTTAGCTGCACCTTCACTCGTTCGCGGTGCGGCAGCCGGACGCAGCACATACACAGAGAAATTTTGCATCGTTGGCGGTTTACCACTCAAGATTAAGAGTACACACGGTATTTTCTCTTTCGAAGACTCCTGATTTAACGTGGTGAGGTGCCTCCGGAGCGCTATGAATGTTACAGAGTAGGTCTGCTATAAGGGCTACCTCTACGCATCGTAGAGCGTAGGTTTTCAAGTCCTGTTTCGTGTGATCGCCATTTTCTGAAAACGCCAAGAACCAAGATGGAAAATTGTAAATGTGCCTGTGATCACGTTCATCGTTGACCTCGGTACCAACCAAGCAACGTATGCATACAGCCAAGGAGAGAGACAGTCAGACACAGAACGAGGGCTGTGCCGCATCTTACAGCTATCGTCTACAGCAGTACGGGCGAGCCTTGCTGAGACTGCATGTATGCATCGCGTTGATGTTGGGTCACTTCTGTAAAGAGGCATGAAACTGCATGTACATCACAACATGACACAAAACGCCAACATCCAAGAACTCACCCAGGGCGAAACTAGGAACGCGAGAACCACCAGGCGATCGCTGCCTTCGTCGATCAGGTTGGCACCTGCTGCTGCTGCTGCTGCTGCTGCTGCTGCTGCACCTCCGCTGGGGAGAGCTCACATGCTCTGCTGCGGAGAAGGCACATGATCTTTGCGAGGACAACAACCATGTCGCTGGCGAGAGCGTGAACGCGGCGCAGCAATGGGAGAGGAAAACAACGCACACTGGTGCCTTCATCGCTGATGTGATAGCGACACGCCTGCCAAGCACAGCGTACACCACAGCAGCAGGACACGACACGACACGACCACGACGACCCGACGTTCACGCGTTCACGCGCCTGGGGGCCCCGTGGATGTGGGTTTGTATGTGTCCCGGTTGGCGTTTCATGGGTTCGAATCATAAATGAGAGAGACGGGTTGCGACAGCGACGGGTCACAAACGCAAGACTCCCGGCTCTCCTTCCCTCTCATGCGGCCACCGTTAGCTCATGCTGCGTCCTTAGCCCTAGTGCTTCTGGCGAAAGCATGTCATGTGGACGCAAGCAAGTGGAAATTTGGAGCGCAGGCGCCAGCTACGAAAAAGCGGGTATGGGTTGTTGGGATTTTCAATTTCTGTGCAAGTTGCAGCCTAGCTTTTTTCGTGTTCGGTCTGCCGTTGGTGCTCTCGGTCTGCTGTTCCGTTACTGCTAACTTATTGGTTTGGGTGGCGCAGCAGCCACCGTAGATGTGCGTACAATACTCAGGATTTGCGCATGAACCCGCGTTGCTTTACAAGGGAAGATATAAGGAGCGGAGGCAGAGAACATCACCTCATCCCTCGCATGCTTTCCCCGAGAGTTGGCGGTTGAGGTACACGCCACGATCGATCTTTTGTTTTTTGTTCCGCCTGCTTGCAAACCGCGCCACCACCAGTAGAGACTGGACCTGTGTGCTCCGCCTGCTTGCGATTGAGGCACGGCCACCTCGGACTCTGTTCCTCTCCTCTCCTCCTGCAACTCTTCGCCGCAGCTTCGGCTATCTGTGGGCGAAATTCCACGTGTCCTACCGAACACAACACTTTTTTTTTCGAAAAAATGTACCGCCGTTACACCCCAGAGGAAACCTGCCCTCTCTCGGACATGAATCGATACCATACTTCAGCAGCACAGCAGCAGCGCAGTAGCAGTCTTTCCAACATCCACCTGCTGTTCCAAACTCACCACCTTGCCCCCATCCCTCCCAAAGGTCAAGGTGAGCTTCGACGATGAGAGCTTCTCCTTCTGGGACCCCTTCAAGAACAAGGGCTTCAACCTCACGCGAGCCGTCGGCCCGATCGCCGAGGAGGTCGGCCGCAGGGCCCCCGGCTACGCCGCCTACGCCGCCGCCTCCACGGCGCTCGGCCTCTTCCTCCCGCCCAAGGTCATGACCGCCGTCAACGTCGCCTACGTCGCGGCGGCTGTGGCCCGGTCCCACGAGGGCGGGGTGGAGACGTTCTGCAGGGACGAGGGGCGGCTGCTGCTGGGAATGCCGTCGCTCCACCTCGCGGCCGCCGGCACCGCGCTGCGCGCGGCGCGGTTCAGGTTCTGGCGCCGGCTGTTCGTCAGGGCGACGCTCTTCAGGCTGCGCTACCAGGTGAGCACCAGCGGTGTGTGTCTATGTTTTGGTGGTTGTTTGCTGCCGTTGTCGTTGTTGATGGTTGTAATTGTGAATGTAGTCGTTGCCTTCCGAGAGAGAGGGGCTGCGTTCTCACCCATCAGGAGATGGCACGAGACGTACGACGGCGCAGTTGCCGCCATAGTGCAGCCTTTTTAAAACGAAGCATGTGATGGAACAGAAAGACAGCAACAAGCGATGAGAGCAGCCGGCAAAAACAAGCCACGCAAAAAAAACACTTATATGCCATCCGTGAAAATTGTTCAGAGCATTTTCTCAGGGTTTCAACCATCGTCTGTTGGTGTGTGGCCTCCTCCTTCTCTCGCTGCGCACCCTCGGCCCCCCGCGTTCAGCTTCGGTTCATGAGGATATATAGGCCTCGCTGGGTGATAAGGGGGGGATCGCCGCTGGGGCTGATCGTGCAAGACACCGCCGACGCGGCCCGAAGCGTGCAGGGGCTGGTCCCGGACCTTTGCCGCCAGGCGGCGTTCATCGCGGGCGGCTGCCGCTTGGCGTATTGGTCGGAGTGCAACCCTCCACCACGCGTGGAAAAGGTGAAAACGGAATATTGATTTTTTATGTGGACGGTTTTATAGTAAGCGGTTGCGTTTTTGCTTGCGGGCTTCGCGAACAAAACGGACTCGTTAGGGGTGTCCCGGAAAGGTGTTCGAGGTGGAAGACGGGGTTTCGACAGCCACGTCCCGTGAAGCTCGACCGGCTTGATGAAGCATTTGTCACCGCCCTCGAACGATTCGGCGTCGTTACATGAAACGCCAGCAACGCTGCTTCTACTCCGTCGCATCAGACTCTCGCCTGCTTTTGCTTACACCCAACCCCTCCCCCGTTTGCGATTACCCCCGCTATCCTCGCTCGCGTTTTGTTTCCGTCTGTTTAACGTGTGTGCTGGTTGTAGGGGTGGTTTGTCCTCCGACGCGTCGACCGGCGACTGCGGCGGGAGCTCGGCCCCAGAGCGCAGCGCGCTCGCCCCGTAGGCGTCGGCCTCCTCGGTTGGAGGATACCTCACCGAGTCGTCCTGGGAACCTTAAGGTTCGTTTTCAGATCGCCGGCTGCGCGACGCGAGAACAAGCGGATCTCCGGTCGGGCTCCCAGGGTGCGCGGCGGCGGGCGAGTGGATTATGTGGACGAGGACGATGATGACGATGAAGACGATGACGACGACGACGACGACGAGGATGACGACTTTGCGGTTGAACAGCTTGTCGGCGCGGAAGGTCACGAGCAGGGGGACGGCAGCGGCGGCGGCGTCGTGGTGGAGGAGGTCGGGGAAGAGTACTCGACCGTGCTGTACGGCGACGCCGGTGCCCTTGCCGCTGGCTCGGATCGGGACGGGGTGGAGGACGGGACGCGGAGGCGGGGGGGAAGGAAGGAGGCGTTGATGCCCGAGGGGATTCCCGCGGAGGGACCCCTGGTCCGCTTCCACAACGTGACCACGATCGCGTCGCGGGGCTCGACTCTCACCCGGAGCTACCGCGCCTTGGCTGAGCTGCCGTACGGGGACGGCCAGGTGGACCCGGAGGGCGACTCGTTCTCCCTGTGGTACGCGAAGCTGCAGAGGGGCGTGCCGGCGGGGGGGGGATGGGGTTCCGCGGGCGACGGCGGCGACCGGGACGAGGACGAGGAGGTGCTGGCGCGCATGGAGTCGACGCCGACGCCGTCGGCGGTGGCGGCGGCGGCCCGTAAGGCGGCGACCCTCCAGCCGGTGGTGATCAAGCGGAACGTCCGGCGGCAGCTCATGCTCGCCGAGGACGACCTCGCCGCGGCCCGGAAGGTGCTGCGCCGCCTGACGTTCAGGGCCGAGATCGACCTGGACATGTCCGGCGTGCTTGCGGCGGTCGCGGCGGCCGTCTCCCGGGCCGCAGACCTCCGCACCGAGGCGAGGAGCATCGAGAAGGTGCGGTCCAACCTGTTCAAGGCGGGCATGCTGGGGTCGGTGGTCGGGGTGCCGGAGGTGCTGTCGTGCCCGGAGCTGGGGGCTCTCGCGCGGAAGGGGATCCTGGTGACCACCGCCCTGCGCGGGGTGGACGTGTCGGACTCGTACGTGATGCAGCACGCGGCCCCCGGCGGGGAGAAGGAGAGGGGCCGCTTCCTGGACGGCGTGTTCAGGGCCTTCGGGCAGATGTGCCTCGCGGACGGCTGCTTCCCCTCGAACCCCTTGCCGGAGAACCTGCTGTACATGTACAGCGGCCAGGTAAATGACGAAAACAGGATAGTGTGTGTGGGGGGTGGGGTCGTGTGCGTGGACGGGGAACGGGGGGGTTGGACTGGCGAATGAGAGAGATAGGCGCGGGTGGTGTGCGCGTGATGTGTAAGTAGGGGTCTTGCTCAAAACTAGGGGCTTCCGACGTGTGGGAGGTAGCATCGTGCTTCGACGTCCCAAGCGGCGAATCTGGCAACTACACAGGCCAAGGGGGTCGGATACGCACGACCCTTTTTCTCCCTGCTGACCCCCACCCACCCCCCTTGACCTACCAAACTGCTGCGCTTTGGATTATGACGAGCACCAGGTCGGCCTGACAGACCTCTCGTCCGTGACCCAGCTCGCCGAGAGCCAACGCCGGGCGCTCTGCCGCCTTTACCACACCCTGGCGGACCTCAGGCGCGAGGACGCCGTCAACCCTTCGGAGGCGGCCGAGCTCAAGGCCAGGGCCGCCATGGAGAGCGTCGGTCTCGTGATCGACCTTCCCCCCGCCGGTGGCGGGATGGACCAGCAGCGGCGGCGGCGGCGGGGGGAGTGGGGGTCTCCGTCCGGGCGGGCGGCGGAGGAAGAGGCGTCCCTTGCGCTGGCGAGCGCGGCGGAGAGGGTTATCGCCGCGACGTACGGCGGTGCTATCGTCGGCGACGGCGACGACAGCGAAGACTCCTCGGAAGAGGAGGAGGAGGAGGAGGGGGGCGGAGGGGAGGGGCACTGGGAGGTGGGGGCGGAGGCTGACGAGGGAAAGGAAGAGGAAGGGGGGAGAGCAGCGGGGGCGGGGGCGCCGCCGCCCCCGCCGTTGGCAGCGTCGAGCGCGCCGCTGACCTACGTGATGCTCCTCCGAGGGCTGTTCGACACGCGGAGAGACGAAGCCCTCGCGCTGGTGGGCGGCGGGGGCATGGAGCTGTTGAAGGGCATGGCCGTGAGAAGACTCCCACAGGCCATGGTGCCCGTGCTCAAGATGGTGGCCAACTTGAGGGGCCTCTGTGCCCACTTGGTGAGTGGAACTGCTGCTGCCCGTCTCGACAGAAAACACACCCTCTCATTCCTCCCTTGCCGTTGGCAGTGGTGGTATTGTGACAGCAACTCGACGAGTATCGTCGCGTTGCCTGTCTGAAGCTTTCCAGTTTTTTAGCCGTTAATAAAGTCGAGGGCGCACACCGCGACACGCTCGCCCACCGAGCACGACAAAGAGTTCTATACACAGAGTAGATGACATAAGATATCACACCCCCTGAACAATTTTTAATTTTCAAAGCTCATTACTCCACAGCAGAAATCGTGGCCGGGCGGCGTTGGCACCGATAGCTTTCCGAAACAAACCTCTCGTTTGACATCCTCGTCGTCGTGGACTAGCATTATTAGCTGTGAATATTGATGATGCGATATATTATGTCACCTACTACTGCGGGTACATGCCATGCATAAGAACAACGAGCACCCTCCATACTCCAGTGTAGTAGTTGAAATGAAACCTCTCATTACCCATCCATCAAGAAGTCGTTTTATACACAAATACTTAAAAAAAAGAGCAGTGGCCAAAATCGGGTACACCCGGTCCAAACACGGCCATAATCGGGTACCCCTACAAGATGCTGCTGGGAGCGGCCGCATGCCACCATCTGATTGGCCGACGCCCGCCCCTACCCGACCTTGACCGCCTTTCCACCGGGTGCACCCGATCTTGGCTACTCACCCCCCGGAGGAGTACCCAGTTTTTCTTTCCCCACCCCGAAAATGGCTGGGCTGTTCGACCAAAACCCATGCACACAAGTACACGTCAGCAACGCCCTGCCCTCGAATTCGGACCTTCTGACGGCCCGGCGGGCGGAGGCAGACCCCCCGCCGGCGGTGGAAGTCTCCCTTCGGGGAAACGGCAGGCGGTCTGTGCAAATGATCGAGAAGAAGAAAGAGCTGGATGACTACCTCCCTCACGAGATGCGACACACACGGGACTCATCTCAAGAATAGACATATTTCTCTCCCTCCCGCTACTTTCTCATTATTGGCGACAAACGAGGGCCAGTGGTGTGCGTCCGACCCGTGGTTGTGTGTATGGGTTTTGGTCGAACAGCCCAGCCATTTTCGGGTTGGGGAAAGAAAAACCGGGTACCCCTCCGGGGGGTGAGTAGCCAAGATCGGGTGCAACCGGTGGAAAGGCGGTCAAGGTCGGGTAGGGGCGGGCGTCGGTCGGCCAATCAGATGGTGGCATGCGGCCGCTCCCAGCAGCATCTTGTAGGGGTACCCGATTATGGCCGTGTTTGGACCGGGTGTACCCGATTTTGGCCACTGCTCTAAAAAACAAGTGCTGCAAAAACTATCCATGGACGAACCCAGCAGTGCCCTTCACAATTAACTACAAAAAACCGTTCGTTCTGTTCTCTCTACCCAGTTCCTCCTCCAGTTGAGATACATACGCGCCCGTGCGCGTAAAAGAGTGGTGTGTGGCGTTTTGATATTGATTTTGTATTGTTACGTAGTAGAAGTTTAGTCTCTTTCTCCGGCAAGAATAATAACGCCCGGGCGAACTTGAACTTGTAGTCACAAGAAATAGCGTCATGATGACGTCATCCATTCTGCTTGCCATGGGAGATGCGCATCGTTACGCGAGGAAGGCGTTAACTCTTCGCATAGAATATGCTGCCGAAGACCCTATATCCCCCAAGCTCAACCACAGCTATACCCGATACATGGAATCGAAAAAAAATTGTTTTCTTGGTGGCGAAGCGGACCCTCTTTATTGTGACTCTCCAACTGCTGTTCGTGGATGGCGACGACATGGCGACACAGGCGGACAAAATCTAGGGTTTGACGTCGGTCTTATCCGCCGCAGGAGGTGGAAGCTATACTCAAAGTTGGGGAGGGGTCGTGATTTGCAATTCCCTACGGAACCGTACTTGAGGCGCCATGATTTGCACTGCCGTACCCGAGGTTATTTGTCGGCAGAGAAACATAAAAACAAAATCTTTGGCGGACCGGACCCTCTTTTTTTGCAACTGGCCAACTAACTGTTGTTTGGATGGCGAGACAATTTCCGATCTTCTTGTCCGTCACAGGAGGCCGAAGCTGATGCTCACACTCGGGGAGGGGTCATGGTTTGCGAGTCCCTACCGAACCATACTCGCTCGGGGCACCACGTCATGGTCATGACAAGAACAACATCCCCCCAACGAAAACTGCTGAAATTCATGGATGGGTGGGTGAGTGGGGGACCCCAAAACAATGAAACAGTCGCGGGACCGGCGAAATACACCGTCGACGCTCTGAACCGCTGGAAGCTGTCACACAGCACTGCATGTGCGGCGAACCGTAGGGGCCATGCGCATTGCTTGACGGAAAGAGGCGGCGCCCATTGCCTCACATGCAGCAGCCGGGTACACGGGTGGCCTCCTACTCAGCAAGACGCAAAACGATTGCCGTTGACCTTCGATGTTATTGGGGACCCTAACGGCGAAAATGCAACAGAGAGAGAGAGGTAAACTAAAGAAAGAGAGACTCGAGAAGACAAGGCATGAACTCTCGTCGAGAAGGCACTCACTCTCATCCCTCTGGTCCACCGCAGAGGCTTGAACACGTGTAACGAACGGCGACATCCGATGTGCGCTCAGCAACAACAAACACGACAAAAGAAAATTAGTCGTCGTTTCCGAACTGCTGTGGAGATACTGTAAGTTGGTGGAGACTTTCTTTCTTTTCTGGTACGAAGTGGCAACAAAGAAGAACACGACTTGTATCTGTCTGTGTAGACTAGAAGCACGACGGACGAACTATTATCTCAATGCGCTTGCCGTCGGGATAGATGCGCACCGCTACCGTTATACGAACGAGTAGACTGTTGTCAAACCTGACTACGATAACCGTACGATCATTGCAGCACATTCCGACCATAACAAACAGCAGAAACCGCAGCAGCAGCCGCATGTGCACTAATTTACCATGGTCACTCAAGAACAAACGCAAAAAAAAACTAAATGTGGCGCGCAGCACGCAGGACCCTTTTTCGCTGTTCAACCGGCCGTTTCCATGGCGAAACAGGCAAGGAACAGTCAAGGCCGACTCGTGCCGGCCACAGGAGGCGGAAGCCGCTCAAACTCGGGGACGGCTCATGACTTGCGATTCCACACCGAACCATACTCGAGGCGCTACGAGATTTGCACTACTGTAGCTCGAGATCAGCTTTTTAGACCGGGTCGGGCAGGGGTGGGGCATGCGAATGAAACTTCCACGGATATTGAACGATGAGACTGAAGCTAAAGCTTCAAAATTCCCTAGGCCTTGGACGTGTCGGTGGGCATGGTACAATAGGATGTGGTGGTGTGTTGACAAGTGGAATGGACGGGGTGCGAGTAAAAAGTCCGGGGCCCAGTCATAAACATGGCAAGTAAACACCCCTCCCAACAAAAATTAATGGTGGGCGGGTGGCTGGGGGACCCCAACAAACAAAGCAGGAAAAAAAAAAATCAAAGACAAGTGAGCCAGGCGCGACAGGCTTGAGGGAGGAGGCGAAATAAGCATAGAAAACCCACCGTGGTCGTCGCTCGCTCTGGGCCGCTGGAACATGTCACATAGCACTGCATGTCCAGCATTAGGTAGGGCCCCAAGTCCATTGCTTGATATTAAACAGGTAGCGCACATCGCCTCTCATGCAGCAGCCCGGTGCACGGGTGGTCTCTTACTCAGCAAGATGCGGAACCACTGCGGTTGACGTAGTTCGATATTGTTGGGACCCCACCGGCGAAAGGCGAGAGAGACAGGTAGACTAAAAGAAGAGAGCGGAGAGAAGACAAGGCATTCACTCTCGAGAAGACACTCACTCACTCTCGTCCCTTTGGCCCACCGCAGGCTGTCAGACATCTGTACCGAACGGCGGTATCCGAAGTGGGCTCAGCAACAACAAACACAACAACCACAAGTCGCCGAGTTGGAACTAGACTAGAGTAGTGCGGACTTTCATCCTTCTGTGACGAAGGGAGAACAAAAAACATGACTACACGGATGAACTAGTCCGTCCGCGATAGATGTGCACCGTTGCACTGCTGTGTCATTCCTCACTTTCTGTTGTAAATAAGATTGTGCTGCCATCTACCTTACTTATCGCTCAAGCTATAGTTACGCAGCAGACTCAAAAATCATCAACACCCTTATTCGATGAATGCCACCCATGCATACGCCGCTTAGACTAACTAAATACGATGCATACCACCCATGCATATGCAGCAAAAGAGAGAAAACCACCCACTGCACCACGGAGTTGGAGAAGGGCCTGTTGTTGTCTGTCTCAACTGTTGTGCTGCTGTTGCTTTTCATGTATAACGACACAACAGGCGAAAAAGTAAGCGACGCGCATCGCCTACTACGCGACGCGTGCACCCCAAAGCGACAGACACGATAGCCTTCAACCTTATCTGAAGCAATTCAGCAACAGCAGCATGGTCACTCAGGAAGAAAAAAAAAAAAAAAATGTGGCGCGCAGCACGCAGGACCCTCTTTCGCTGTTCAACCGGCCGTTTCCATGGCGAAACAGACAACGAACAGTCAAGGCCGAGTCGTGTCGGCCACAGGAAGTGGAAGCTGCTGAAACTCGGGGAGGGGTCATGGTTTGCGATTGCCTACCGAACCATACTAGGGGCGTCACGACATTTGCACTGTAGCTCGAGATCAGCATTTGAGACCGGGTCAGGCAAGGGGTGGGGCATGCGAATAAAAGTTCCACCCACCCACCCACGGATAATGAAATATGAGACTGAAGCTAAACCTTCAGAACTGCTGCTTTTGTGGGTGGCTGCGCGGGTGTCGTCCGCCTTCATTTACCGTGTTAAGACTACACAGCACAACAGGCAGCAGCAATAGTGGCGACAAAGGCACTCTGTTGCTGTGCTCGGCGCCTCCGGTGCGGAGAGTACGACAGGTTATATGGTCATGGTGTTCTGCGACCCGAGTTGCCCCTGTGTATCCATATTTCAGCCTGCGTTTGACGTTAGCGTTCCGCCTTGAAGT